ACATAATATTAAAATTACAGACATTCTAAAATGCTTTGAAATTTTTATAAAAATAAAACTTAAAATCGCGTCTGGCACATAGTTAGCAACGTGAAAAATGTCTGGCAATAAAAAAGTATGTCAGGTAGACGTATTTAAAAAGGAAAAATCAAAAATTACGCTTCTTAAAATGCAATGCTTCATCATACTGCAATACTTTATCATTTTAATTCAAGACTTAACAATCGAATTAATTGGCAAATCATTTTCAGTTTTTCTTATATTTAAATAACAAATATTAAAATTACAGACATTCTAAAATGCTTTGAAATTTTTATAAAAATAAAACTTAAAATCGCGTCTGGCAATAGTTAGCAACGTGAAAAATGTCTGGCAATAAAAAAGTATGTCAGGTAGACGTATTTAAAAAGGAAAAATCAAAAATTACGCTTCTTAAAATGCTTTTAAAATCCAGGATTATTACCTGGACAGATAGGATGCGACTAATGAACGCAACCGCTACCGCCAGCCAGATTGCCCAGACTCTAACCGGAAGTGCAAGAAGGAAGACATATCACAAAATCAGTGACCTGAAATTTTTCTCGAAAACGTTGCTACCTCCCGTACTTAGGTACCACACGTGATAATGGACTTGAATGGTCTAATGATATTATTTAGTTTTAGTTCTAAATTCAAAATCGTTATGTTTAAATAATTCTTTATGGATTTTGATATACAATTTTTGACAATATATAAAAAGCAACTTACGCAATTGTGAACCTCCTACGTGTTTTTTGAAGTTAGTTAAAAATTATTGAAAATTTTAAAAGCGAATACAAAGACATTAGTTTTAGGCAACTAGTTTAAAAAATAACAAATTAGCGTTTATTTTTACTTCAGTAATTGCATCTCTTGAAACATAAAATTTCAAAATTAATTATAACTTTAAAATATTAAACGGTAAAAAAGAATATAGCCTCATTTATCTGAAAGTAACACAAAAGATATACACGTACCTACATTTTATACAAAACTAATTACATTTTTTTCAAGGATCTCTTCAAAAGTAAAGGCATAGGATACTTTCTATATTGCGCATTTTTCTGCCAATCATCACCAACTTCTTTAAGCTTGTCAGCGCACCGCGCAAAGAGGGCGATCTCTCTTTCTTTTCCCTGGTGGGCCTTTCCACCTTGTTCCCGTTTGACCCTCTATTGGTCATGCGAGTGGTGTGGCCTGCCCGTTTCCAATAGGATAGTGCGTCAAATTTTTAATTTGTAATTATTTATTTATTTCGTAATCCTACAGCTAACAAAAATATAAAAACAAACAAATACACCAAAAATATAGCCCAAGATGGAGTTCATAATATAACCAAAAAGGTTCAAACATTTACAAAAACCATATACCGCGATAGCCTAAACAAGTCAAGGCTTAAATATTGGTCGTTGTATGTCCGGGCAGCGCGATACAAAACGATTCTTATGGTTATTGTTCTTTCATTTTAAATATTATTTATTTATTTACAAAAACAAATTATATAATTCAGTTCCACTTCTTGTTTGATATATCTATGATTCGAATGACATGGTAAGTAGGCGTGTCTTTGGCCTCAGGAAAATATTAACATCAAAACAGATGTAGAAATATGTTCCAGGAAATTTAGTGGACCTCGTACATTACCTTTGTATATTTTTAGTTATCAAGATCTAGTAAAAAACTCTAACAGAAGCTCTCAGTTTTATTTCCAAATTTTTCAAACATGTATAATTTAATCTAGGCAATAAACCGATCGTAATAAATATGTGCTTCCATTAGGGTAATGACTGCACACAATATGCAATCAGTGAGGTGGGAATGTTGTGCTCAAATCGTCACGTTTTGTCCCAGTGCAGCGCCGCGGAACGCTTTATGAACGTTTTAGTGCTTTTTCAAATATTACAACGTTACATAAGGGATTTGTTTATTTTAAAATGTCTATGTACTCATTAATTAAGATTGTGTATTTTCGTGTGCTTATGGGTATAGACCTCTTCCAACAATATCTATGCTTTCTAAATTACTTGTATTTTCAATGCCCGGTTCATACAAGAACCAAAAGTTAAACTTGGTTCTTGTACGAACTGGGCATTTTTTACATTCTCTTCAAAATTTCTCAATATCCTGTTTTCTATTATTATGTGTAATGGTTATATAAATATGCCTGAATTATTCTTTTATCGAGACTCAGATGGTCGTGGGAAAGGACTTTCTTAGATTTTTTTTATTAGTCACAATTAACAACGTGTACATTTTCATACATTACATTTTACAATTTCTATCTACTACTATGGACCAGATTACTTCCAATTAGAGTTATTAATCTTGCGCCAGCTGGTCACTAGGGAGAGTGAGGCGGGATTATGAGTGCTTTCATCGAAAATTTTCAAAGTTTGACATAATATTTCAATCACGAATGGGGCGCGACAGGGCCGGCCGTAAAGGCTTTTATTATGCTCCTACTTTCTAGTAAAGGACTGGTATTAACTAAACCTTTAAGATAAGCTTTATTTTGAGATACTGCATAGTTAAAGAAAACGAGAAAACGCGTCTCTTGTTTGTGATTAGACTTGAGATGTTTTTGTCCTGTCACAAGCATACGTGCGACTTGTTTCTTTGTTTAATTTTGTATTGAATTCAATTGCCGATAAGGCTTATAATTTCGCAATAAAGTCAAGTTAAAAGGTTGATTTACAAGTAATCTTTCCAAGTATAATTTACGTGAAAGTAGCATTCTTTACCTCCAGCTTCCACACAATAGGTCTTAGATTCTTCGACTCAAAAAGGGCACTCTCTTTTGTCTGAGGTATCGCATATTTCGAGTACAAGTGTTTGAAAGTCTTTGCATTTCAAAAGCCACTTCAAAGCTTAGTCTTGCCACTTGATAGCGATATTTTTAGCCCTTTTTGCCTACTTTGAATTATCGATCATCGATAAAACTTTAGAGAAAATTGAATAATATGCATCACGGTAGCATAATTACGCTTGGGATGTATAATAAATACGTTAAAGTATAATTGTTATAGTTGTTTTGAATTTTTTTTAAAGTAAAACTGTGTTAACGTTCTCTGAAGGCGTAGAATAATTATTTATCGACAAATAGGTTTTGCGGAGTAGTACGCTATAATAATTAGGGCATTAGGTATAACAATATAAAATTAAGCCATTAATAATTCCAGCCAGTCACTTTCCGTGCGGCTGGATCTCTTGGCGTTGCGTAGAGATGTGGGGTCTCTCTGTATCTACCATGGAGAGTTTTCAGAGGAGTTGTTCGGACTAATACCTGCAGCTAAGTTTCATTATCGGACGTCAAGGCATAATACAAAATACCATTCGTATCACCTCGACGTCCGTCGTTCCACAACTGAGCGTTTTAAGGCAGTTATTGCCGCGTACGACCACTATGTGCCCACTGAAGTCTGAAATATTTCCGAACTATTTCGACTTAGGGACTTCAAGAAAAGAGCGTACTAATACTTGAAAGGCCGGCAACGCACTTGCGAGCCTTCTGGCAATGTCCATGGGCAGCGGTATCTCTTAGCATCAGATGAGCCTCCTGCCTGTTTGCCTCCTATTACATAAAAAAAAATATTTGGATACTTTAATAAAACTATTTGCCGTTTATTGTAGGACTGTCTACGTACATATTGGAGTGGTTGAACAAAACATGACTGCCAACGTTCATTAATTGGAAAGGCACTTAATTTTAATTGTTGGTACACCGACTAAATTTAAACACGTAAAACTTCTTACAGATTATAAAATCCAGGTGAGTATTGAAAATGGAATCACCATTTGTTTCTGCGTGTAACCTCTGCGCCGTTGGTGAATATATCGATGCATATTTGCTGTAAGTAGACAAAATACCTAAAGTGACTTTTTCCTGCCATTAGAATCAGAAAAAAAAGCCGCATCGAATGACCTGGGTCCTGTGTCTCTACGATGAAAAAAATTACATACGCCGTTGAAAACGCCCGTACTTATATTATTTTTAGCAAGATTAAATGCTGTATGTAGACCAAAATCTAGTCATTTCAGACATTTTGCACTTACAGCAAAAGAAAATCTGCATTTTTTTCTTTACAAATACTTACTTCTTCCCATTTAAAAACTTAACGCTACTTACAGAATTTCAGCGGCGTGTGATTTTTACATTCGTTTACTTACAGCAAGTTTAGGGAACCTACAGTTTTGGTATTTTTTTACCATTTACGACATTTTATTTCAACCAAACATTACATTACCAAATGACCCACTGCATTTCTAGATCTAATCATAATTATAAACTAATCTTACATCTTGAATTGCAATTAAAAGTACCAAATACATAAATTTCCTGCATACAGCATATTTACCGCCTGTAAATTGAAATATTTCCGCGGTACATTTTTCTTCCTTAGTTACAGCGTTTTAAAGGTTTGTGATTTAAAAACTGTTTGCTGTAACTAGCCAAACACGTACTTATAGTAACTTTGGATAAAAAGTTTACATTGCAAATGGTGACTGGCAGTTAAATAAATATATTTTCAAAAATGGTAGCAATATCATGGATAGGTAGACACTATTAATTTTTTTCCGAAATTAATAAAGTTTTTTGGCTCTGGTGAAAATTGCAATATGTCTATTAAGAAATGTGTTCTATATATAAATGTAATATATTTTATAGGGTCTACTTAACTTATCTATTGTATAACATATAAAAATATATAGTAAGTATAAGTTACATTATTTTATAATTTCTAATTTACTACATATATTAATAAAATAAAACGTATAATATACAATGAAAGCAGAAATATTCCACAATAAATATTCTTATTAAAAATAAAATTATAGCACCTGTTTTTTATGTTACGGTTGAATATTCAAAAAAAATTGTTAAATCCTGCAACATCACTTAAAACTTGATTCATATTATATCAGTTTACCATAAATGATAATAGATGTTTATTATTTCCTTAAAGGAAAATATTTAAAAGATATCACATCTCGGAAACAAAGAAGTAGCATTTAGATAATAAAAACGCTCTAACCTGTTTGACAATCAGCCTAGCGACCCGCGGACTGGCGAACGTAACGAAGCCATAGCATTTGGAGACCCCTGCCCTGTCGTAGATCACCCGAGCGGCGGTCACCGTGGCGAATCCCGAAAAGAATTTCCACAAATCCTCATCTGTCGTGGTCAATGAAAATCCACCGACGAAAATTCTATTGTGAATAACGGTTCCGAACTTGGGAGCATCAGATGGTGGCAGGGTGTCATCCGTATCCTCTTCCGGGGAGTTTAACAGAGCCTTCAGCTTCTCATGAGGGTCAGCGCTCTTTCTGTTATTCGCAGTGTTTTCTTCAACCATATGGGCACAACTTGCGGACTCACTCCTAATATAACGCTTCGAATTACCTTCCATTTTAATTTTAATTTAAAACATGTTCCCTTGTTTACTAAACTACAATTTTCTAGCGATAACTAAAACGGCACTATTGAAGGGTGAACGAGTACTGTCCTAAAGCGCGGAATATCGATTTTTAAGGCTTTACCGTACGTATAGGTTGTGAGTTGCGCCGTGCGGTACGCATCAACTGACTTTAACAAGATGTTGGTACAAGGTAAGATAAGGTTCTTGCTTAAGATTTTAGCGATACGCGCCTAAAAATAGTGTTTGAGCTATTGTCGCCTGCTATTTTTACTGTACGAGAGAACTGGGTCAGATGTACAATGTTTTAGCGCGATTGGTTGTTATCGAGGTGCACTCTTGTTTATTTTTTGTGTACAGATGGCGGTAGTCTGTAGTCAATTAAGTGTTATCGTTATTGTTCCAATTATAGGGACAGTAATAGAACAATTAGAATAGCTATAATATTTTAGTATAGACATAAATGATTATCATAATAATATATCTTAAATTTTATAATTAGGCTTAAATTATATGCCTTACAAAAGACCGCATGCGCCGAAATGACTAATAATTTGAAGATTTAATACCGTGTAAAGACAACGTAAATATTGCTTTAGTTATTTTTCTTTTATCGAAATTAGGTTCTAAACAACTTATCGTAAGAAGTAGTAATTATATCTACTTCAATGAATACATATATAATTTAGTTTAGGATATTCATTATTACGGATTACACTACGTGCTTTTTTCTTTAGAATTAAGGATATATTAGTTTTGAATAATTGCGCGCAAACTAGATACGAAGTTGCGGCCTTATTGTCTATGCTTTCGTGTGCGGTCATGCTATAGATATCAATTAAATTTGTTGTTTTACATAAATAATATAACTTCTTACAAAATTATATATATATATATGTAATTGTATATTTTTTTTAGTTAATTTTTCTCCTTTCTTTTAAGTACTTGTTCACAACAAGTACCGCTGACTATCGATGTGATGTCACTGTCAGATGCTTGATGTCTTTTAAGCCTGAAATGTCAACGATGATAAATCACAATACACGTCATAAGTCAAAACTTACTGAAGTCATAACAAAAAGTACAAAATACAAATGTTTTTACTATTTCTTAATAGACAGTGTATTTTGTTAATTCGGATAGGAAAAAAATAAAATTACTTTATAATTATCTAATAGGTTTTTGAGATTATTTACGTACGTTTCACCATGCAGTTCATTTGTATCTACTGAGTGTTTAATATGTAAAGTGAATTTATAGCAATTTGTACCAATTACTATCAATTTATTGCTTTTGTGGGTAAGTTGTTGTTTATTTACGTTGCACAGTTATTATGAGTATTAACTTGTTTTTTATCGGCGTAAGTATTACTTACTGAGTTTCACTCACAAAAAGACAGAAATTATTGTTGCGGAACAGTTTCGTAAGTTTGACGTTGTGAATTGTGCCTACCTACTTACATTTTTATTTAAAACTAATAATAATGTTACGTGCAGTTGTAGAAGGGAACATACATTTATATGTTACGCATACCTACATAATGCTATAATTATATATTAAATATTTACTAAACCCATGTGCTTTAAATAATGGTAGATGTAGAATATTTTTTGTTATATAAATCTTATTAAAGCCTGGTAGATTAAACATGTGGTTTACGAATTGCGACATTTTTGTGAGCTCAATTTCGATCAAAACAAATTTAAATATGTTAGTAGCGCTTTAGAAAACAGAAATAGATACATATTTATTTATTAAGGAACACCTATTACAGGCCATGTCCTTATGTTATGGGCTTATGGGACTTATATTATTTACTTATGATGATGATTATGGAGATGAATATTTTTTTTCATTTATGACCATTATATGTCTAATAAATTCCTACCTCTCATCATTTAGACTGACATAAATAAACCTTTTTAATATGTCCTTTAACATATAATGTACATCTTTTTACTTATACACATAGTTCCATTTTTAGGAGGGATGAAACACTAATACTTTTCTAGTGGTCTATCTGGTTTTTTTTGTGATATTTGCATAATTATTAGCAAAATATGAAGGAAAAGGAGTTGAAATATGTCATTGTTAGTGTATCTCTGAAGAAGCATTAAATAAAATGTTGAATAATATTGCCATTATTATTGAGTAACTGAGCGTTTGTAAGGCATGTTTTGCCATGCACCTCATGGGGTCTAGAAGAGGGTACCAATTCTTAAAAGACTGGTAACACATTTTCTAGTCTTCTGACAGTGTTCTCACCAAACCATTTGCCCTGTTCTATTAAAAAAAAAAATTAGTCTTTTCATCATTATCTGAAATTATCAATATTGACAGACAATTTCGAATGATACTTTTATGTGATGTTAAATGTGTAGAAACTAAATTTTTAATACAGGAAATGCAACAAGAAATTTTCTATTCTCAGGGTGGCCATTATCCACAACCATATACCGATCCCTGTACTTAAGATTCAACCTATGCTCAACAAAGATTCATTTGTTTAACTTATTAAAGTTGCTTAGTTAATAAGTGGGTACTGTAGTTGTAGAAAAATAACTAGATATTCTTATATGTGTTTATTTAGAACATAATTTGACCAATATAATGGGCTCTACTGTAATTTAGCCTTTAAGCCTTTTGTTGGTAACAGAACAAGTACCAGTATAGCAGAGATCAAGGCAGCTTGGTTGACCCACCACCAAGGTTGGTATAGATAACCCCAGCCGGTAGGGCAGTGGCCCTATAAACTAACTTTACTGCTTATATGGATGGATGTGATTGATACACTGATAATTTCTATATCACACAAGTATTGAGTGTATTTTTAATTTCCTTACTAAAGAAGTTTGTAGCCTTATAAAGATTTTAATGCAACAAATTGTCTTGTCATATTATATAATTTATATATTATAAATTATAAATTATAAGCACCAGTTGTAGTTAATACACATAGCATGAATAGTTAATAATAAAACATCTAAAATTATCTATGATGACCTCACCGTGGAATAAGTAACCTCATTGAGTAAATTATAAGCCACTTACTATAAACATTACTGGTTTCACAGCATAGTACAAAACTGCTTAACTATATGTAATCATTCAAACTAGAATACCCGTTTTATTATGATACATTATGCCTAAAATACTGAGCATTTCCATCTAATTTTTGATACTGCATTTAAAACTTGGGTGCAACCAGAAAATTAAAGGCTAAAGAACTCACATTCCAGCTTCATTTTTTTTATGATTTTGCCACCTGGCAACATATACTACATAAAGCTATTTCATAGTTATTGTTATTTTTCAATTCCATTGAATCTTATATATTTATAAGATTCTATGTACAATTTTATTTCTAAAGTAGGTAGATACTAATGGCCTCGGTGTTGATTTCACAATTTAGCGTATTGATGCGTCATTAAAACTCGTAGTAAAATGCACTCGCAAGCCACATTGAAAATACGTACCCATGTTAAATATACATATGTCGACATCGACAATAATCGGATACAAATTATAATTGTATAAGTAACACATACTACTTTTTCTCTGCCTTATCGAACAAGATGTTTTTAAATATATATATTTTTTATGCCTGCTAGTTTTATTACGATTACGATATATCATGTCTATTACACCTATGAAATAAGAGAATTATTCTCTTTTTTATCTCTTTCCAATCATCACCAAAGTTCAAAGCTATATAAATATCTTAGAATATTATGAATCTAACTTGAGTGTGATGTATATTTCCTTTTGTCCATTTATTAATAATATCGGTTTTATTTAATAGTTTCCTGTTTTCTTATCGCACGGTATATATTTGCATTTATTAGAAGCTGGTGTGCATACAAACCTTATTTTATATTAGAAGTTGATAGTTAAATTTCATCATTTTTTATATTTATTTATTTTCCTTACCTTACTTTTTGGTTTTTTACTGAGCGCTAAAATAATAATTAAAACGATAAACCTCTTATAACGCTAGTCATCATTTTTATTATTATTTTAGTAAGAAAATTGGAAAGCATATATAGTAGACCGAGGCGAATCGGATCACTTTTTCTTTGAGGTTGAGCAAATCATACTAAAGTGTTATAATATAATGTTATTTTTATTGCTAAAATCGTAAGAAGTAACAATTAGCTATGCAATAAACATTTGAAAACTTAAATGATACATATATTCTCTTAATTACCTATTAAAAACTAAAAAAAGGAAAATATCCGAATCGCCCCAACTTTCGGGGTGAATCGGATCGTAAACAACATATAACAAAATTTTAAGGTATAGTGTTAAATAACTTTGGAATCAGTAAAAAGTTATTAATGAGATCAATTTTCACATATATATGGTCCTTTTTTTCTGTAAGCTCGTGATCGGTACTGAAAAAAATCTTAGCAGCTTTACGTAAGGTCAACTCTTTGTTCTGGACTTTATTTACAGCCTCTTTCATTTTTTTTGAGACCATTCTCCGGCATCAGTCTTTCTCTTGTACGTGCGAACCATCTACAATGAAATAAATATGAATCAATACCCTCAAACATGTAATAAATCAGTTTAAAAGTATGATCCAATTCGCCCCTGAGTATATGATCCGATTAGCCCCATAATTAAGACTTTTGAAACAAATATTTTAGACGTTACCCTCTAAGATTATACTTAAAAGCGAATTGGTTCTTTAATATAAACACCTTGCTTAACAATATAAACCAATGTAGTTGAATTTTAAGACAAATCCGTCATATGACACAAAGAAATCGTAAGTACGTACCTTAGATGAGCGCCAAATTGCGACACACACAAAAAACCGAGTGGCTAACGAGCGGCATTGCCACTGATCCAGAAGCGCGAACGAAATACTGCTTATGTCGGGAGGTGCTCAGTAAATGGAGAGATACAAAACGCCGGTTGAGTGCGTTCTATGTGAATGTGATATTTAAATTATCAACAGATTTCTTATTTTGATCCGATTCGCCCAGTGATCCGATTCGCCTCGGTCTACCCTACCTTTTAGTCTTAGTTAGGTAGTTTACACATATAAGATTTCCATAAAAACAGCTTGGACTTGAATAATAGGGAAATTCCCTGGTTTATTTTGTCCTTGTAGTAATGACGCGATTAGTCCGAAGCTTTGTTTCGGTTGAGTTTCCTTTAAAATCGAAGTATCGAATACTAGTTATGACTTCTGCGACTTTTATTACTACATATTGAATTTCTGAAACATTTTACGAACCTTAAGGATATCTGGACATTTCATAGTTTTAATCCAAATATAGGATACATAAGGATTTTAATTTTCAGGGTGTTGTGTAGTCGTGGGTAGTGGTCACATGGATGGTGATGGCAGGAAGCGGATGGCGAAGAAGCGCGGGTCGCCTGCGCACTCTACGCGTTCTGCTCAGAGACACGAACCGCGCCCTGCGAGATGTGAGAGACGTGTTGAATTGTGGTAAGATTTCATTCTATACTTTTATATTGATCTGGTAAGAGATGTTATGTAAAACTTTAATACTTATTAAATTAAATATTAAACAAAAGAACCATAGGAAAGTAAAATAAATATTTTATCTTGCGCTTGAATCTTTCGTGAATATTTAACTCGAAATAGCTCTAGGGTAATATTGTTAGATTTGATCTGAATTATGCATATAAATAAAATGTACATGCCATTTTCAATATGTGCAGATCCGGATGTGTCATCAACTGTAGAAGACATAACTGAACAATGTTCCCGCCCTACGGCGCTGGTTATTCTAGGAACCAGTCCCGATGCAAAGGCTCGTCTTGTGCACTGCATTCTTGGAAGGCGGCTGCTGCCCGACCCACTTCCCAGAGGATGTCGCTGGGTAATACCACTAATAATAAATTCGTGTTTTTTTGTTACACGTTTAAGCGTCCGCCCCTCAACCCTGTGGTCATGCGAATCACGACTGCACCTATTGATTTTTATTTCTAAACGCGCAATGAATTCTTTGCTCTCATGGTGAAAGCAAGCAACGTGAGGAAACCGGCATGTCTTAAAAACCGAAAAATTTATGTGTCACCATATATATGAATGTGTCATGCACAGACTGATCACCTACTTGTCTATAAAAATAAAAATTCTCAAAGAAACTGATGCAATCTGTGGTTTAAAAAAAATTGTTTATTATGGAGTATAAGATACAGGTATCACTTATTCCACATTAAATTTGAATCGGTAGACATCCCTACTCATCGGCAAAGCAGACAGAGGGTGTAGGGCGAGTCATACAAAATGACTATGGCAAACATCACTTATAAATAGGGTTGTAACACCACTGGATTATTATTACTATATTCTAAAATAGTAGATTCAATAATTTGAACGTTGATATGTATTCAATACAAACACTTGATTTATTTAGTAAGTACCGAGAAATAAAGATTATAGAACTCTTAAGTAAATATATGTTTGAGAAACGCGTATTAAATCGTACTTGTACATTCCAGTTACGCATTCAGTATGGGTCGAGCACCCAAGTGCACCTCACGCTAGGGACAAGTGAGTTCGAGCTGGTGGAAGAATTGGAGTGCAATCGACAGCCATGGGACACGTTGCCTTTGCAGGTATAAATATTTAACATTTTCTATTATTGTATTGTCTGTGTTCTTAGCTTAAAGCATCTTTAGCAACCAATAGTTTTGGTTAGTTTCCCGCAGAAAAAACTATTGTTTAGTGTAGGTACAGGTCACCTAATTGATTTAAATTCTATCAATAAAACAGCGTCTTTGCCCGTTGTTTTGGAAGAATAAAACAATATAAAAATAATTAAATTTATAAGAGTGTAATACGCGCAAAAACTGCTGGTTATCACAGAAACTAGATACGACTTCCAATTGTTTAAAAAAAGAACATACTCAAAATCGGTGTCGGGCTATCGGCTGCGATGAATGACCGTGGCCCGTGGGCATCTCGTACGTTTGTTTGCCGCCCAATCCTATAAAAAAACCTGCCAAGTTTTGATGTGAAATTGATTTATATACTACGGTCTTAGGTTTGAAGTGAAGTTAATAAATTCGCTGTCGGGATAAAAACGCTCCTTATTCCTCCACGTATTAATCAACTACTACTGATTAACTAATTAATCAATTTGATGTGTAATTTTATATTTTTAGGATATTCTTCGCCAAGACAGTAACGACCTCACAACGATGCTTGAAATCGAACTGAACAATTCCTTCCTCAAAGATGGTCTTCGAATAATCATTCCGCCGGACCTTGAAACCGATTCTGGCCAAACATCCTTACACGATCTAAAAGAGCTCTACTCAGATTTTTATCAAAAACGGGACAACATTTTACGGAATTACTCCCCGATATATCTCTACGCGCTGGACCGCTATGGAAGGAATATTTTCAACGAACCAATTAATAAAATGTCGGTTTCGAGAAGCGACGAGGATTTTTGGGCGACCTTTGATTTGTATAATGTAACGAAAGTTGATATAGTCAAGAAAATTTATCCCGTTGTTTGGAAGGAGAGCTGTGAACCGGCGGTTTTTAGTGCCGAGGTGAGATTTTACGGTGTTTCTTAATATAAATCTGGATACAAGTCCTTGTAATTTTGGCGCATTAACTCGTAAAGGTGTGGACAGTGTTTAGACCATAAGTTTTAACAGTTATAAATACCTACTACTAAATTTGATAATTAATATGATATGAGCTTGCCTATTTTAATATTTGTGCTGATTGTGCGGTTTTTTATAATTCATTAATTTAAATGTGACACTTTCTTTGCAAATAAAGCGATAAGGCCGGCAGTTGCCCTCATTTTGTTTAATTATTTGAACAGTTAATACATAATTTAAATTGTTTAATAATACTAAAATACATTTTCAGAACTGTCTCGATCTCCATCAAATAAAGGAAATTAATCCCAGATCTCAGGTCCTTTTCGTGCTTTTCTCTGACAGTCTGAGTGAAGACCGGCGAATGGAAGTGAATGAAGCGACTGAGTCGACTGAATCGCCGTATAGGAGTGAAGAATTGCCTGAGTCTGACAGAGATCTTTTGAAAGATGGAGTTGCGTGAGTCTTTAATAGTACTCCAAATTGTCATACATTTTGCTCGCATTTTTCGGTAATTGAAAAAAACTAATGAGGAACAGAAAAAATCCAGTGGCCCTACAACCCATTTAGGTCTGAACCTCAGATTTCTGTATCTGTTTCATAATCATTTGGCCGTCGACTTTTTGGGTCTAAGGTAAGCCGGTAACCTCACAATGTTTTCTGTCACCGTTCGAGCGAATGTTAAATGCTGCGCACATAGACAGAAAGTCCATTGGTCCACAGCCGAGGATCGAACCTACGACCTCAGCATGAGAGTCGCATGCCGAAGCTCCTAGGGCAACACTGATCTGCAACAACTTTGATCAAAACTGCATACTTAGTTTTACATACCTTAAATATTATAACGGCAATGATTCAATGAAAAAAATATTGAAACGCAAACAAAAAATAAAAAGGGTGCGTGTACTTATGTACGCGCGTAAGAAGTTATACTTCTTTGGCATTATTAAAAATAGTTTTTGATTGCATGCAAATAATTAATTACAATTAAATAATCAAAGACTGGAAAAGGAGTCATTAAAGTCAATAAAGTTCAGTATACATTTGAAAAATTAATTAAATAAATATTATTATTATTCTCTTACATTAAACAAATAAAAACACTATTTATCTTTAAAACATTTTCATTTCATTATACTATTTATTTTTAAGTGACTCTAATGTCTTCATCAGAATTTCGGTTTGTAATTTTAAATTAATCATTACTTGGTTGTGCATCTACGAGGCTTCTCCAAAACTGCTTTCTGCAACAAATAAGAGAATATTAACTTAAGCTCTGTCCATGCAAAAGTTAAAATTTTGTATAATTCTATAAATTATAAAATTTTTAACAATTTAATATTATTATAGTTATATAAATGTGTTAATAATATAATTTGTAGCACATGCTACAGACCTGAATAGCAACTTTCTTTTATTCTATTTAGAGATAGAGATAATTTAAATATAATATCGGTGTCTTCCTTTGTAGGTTTCTTTGGAGTTGTTTGGGGATTCTTGTTGTTCAGTTCGACATGATTTTCTTTAACCTTTCTTTAATCCTACAAAATAATGAAATTGTTAAGTTATGTTGTCACTGTTGTGCACACCTTTGTTTGGCTTTTTTGGTATTAAAGTTATGTCAAAACTGATTTATTACCTTGTCATTGTTGGTTTATTTGCTTTTGGGATATCAATTGTTTCCAAAATGATTTAATTTGTAATATCCTGAAATATATAAATAACATCTATTAATTTAAGTATCATGGTGAGTGGTTGACTCAGGTATTAAGGTGTATTATACCCACTGTCCATTATAAGTGGGAATGGGCTACTTCTGGCTGACAGAGTTTCGGTACTACAAGTGCAACATGGATGTTTTGAGGTATTACAATATCTCTAACTACCCTGTAGGGGAATAAAGTACTGTTGTGAGCCTATGCTTGAAAGGTTGAACCTTGAACATCACCATACATCATATTTATAATTAACATTCCTACCTCGACACCATCACAATCAAATTCATTGAAATCTACTTCAAACCGTTGCGGTATCATCTCTGCCATATCCATTGTCTCGAGAAGGTGATGTGTTGTTCCACCTCCAGTTTTTCATGTTTCACGGGATAGCTGATTCAATTTAGTGACTTCCACTGATTCATCAATTGTTTTTTGTCTCTTGTCCATATATTTGCTAGATTAAATCTGAAAAATTACATGTTTTGATTAAATAATGTGGTATTTTTTTTGAGATGAGGTACTTATTAAAATGTTTACTTCTCTGTTATATCGCTCCAAGCCTTCATTTTCTCCTTATTAGTATTCGTGTTAATCTTTGTTCTCAATTATGTAAGGGTCGTAGAATATTTCTAAAAAGTTGCTGTAACAAACGCAATAAACAAAAGCAAGAATAATGGTTCATGTTTCAGTTTTAATCAACAATAATACTCGATAATACATACGGATAGTTAACCTCAATTGTATTGAAGACTAGGAAGGTTGGCACAGTTTTTTCACAAATATTTTATCATATTAATAAGTATTTGATTTAGATAATCAATTCGTATAAATGAAAATAACTAGGTATATAATTATTTATTTTAAACAATAATTAAAACTCCTATATTTGTTTAAAAGGTAAATGTCATTGTCAGATGTCATGGTCATTCAAAATTCTTGTTAAGCTGCTAAGAAGAATATGCGTGAAGTTAGCTTCACGCATATTCTATTTCTTTTTACTTGTAGATTGTCTTATTCCCATCTCGCTCGCGCAGTATATCACACTGCCAATTTTGTGTCATAGGTGCGCGCCATCGTAAAATTTCACTCTCATCAATTTTTCATAACGCGCAAGAAGTACAACTTCAAAAATAAAAAGTTTAATTTCTGTAGTACCTAATAAATTAAAAATTCTGAATTTAATGTTATTCTGATTATACAGTGCCACAAAGTCTTTGGATCGGAAAGCTTTAGAAATCCGATCTCAAGAAGAAAAGACAGCGTTCTTGAACGAGTTGCTTGATCAGTGGGAAGTTGCTTGTAAGTACCTAGTATCGACTTAACTATATAAACTTATATTTTTTAATAACCACGGTTATACTTGCAGCAATCTCTGCAAAGCATCGCGCAAAATCTCAATGGGTGATTTTAGACGACTCGGATATTTTTAAGAACATAGATAAGACGGAAGTACAGCGTAAGAAAGAACCAGTCGCACGTACAGTTAAAAGTAGAACTGTATTGATAAATAATGTACTGAAGTTCGCGACTGATTGCGTACAAAACTGCATATTGGAACACTTCTCGGTTCTAAGTGAAGTGAGTTATTCATTAATTTTGCTGTAATTATATGTAGACAGATGTTAAAAACCTTTACTTTTTTATGTATGGGAGTCGAGACTTAGCGCTGAAAATCATTTTCTAATCTTACCCCAAGATGGTTAAAGCGTGCTGTTAAAATTAAAAAAACTTTTTTTTAATTGTAAATTAACATTTTGAGTGCCTTTCAACAATATTGAAGCCATTAAAGAAGTTGAAATAACTTAATAGGATATTAAAAAAATAAATAAAAATATGAAATATATTTTTGTTACTAAAAAACAAAAAGTTATTGGGCTCATTTCTAACATTCTTTCACCAATAGCTACATTCTCGCTACCCCACATTATTCTTAACAAATTCTATAGTTATTGTCACGATTTAACAGCTACCTGGTAAGAAATTTAAAACATTCTCGCTGATGCTGACATATTAATGTATAATTTCCAGATACATGTAAAGGTACTTCAAGAGTTGATATTGTCTTCGTTTGACCTGGCGAGAGAGTTACAGGTGGTGCCTAAAAAGATACAGTATGTTGCCAAACAGGAACAGTATTTGTATGAAGTGAGTTAATAATATTACAGTCCAACATAAGTGTTATCAATCCATTAGATATATTAAGAAAATAGTAGTAATTTTTTTTTTCTATTTAAAATTATATGATTCTACTAACGGTATTGAACCATCTAGCTTAAACTTTGTCTAAAAGGCCGGCAACGCACTCATGAGCCCTCTGGCATTGAGAGTGCCCATGGGCATTCAGTATTAACATAAGTTGAGCCTTCTGCCCGTTTGGCCCCTCTTCTATAAAAAAATTGTTGAGACTAATTTATGTTTTACCTTATTGCAAATTAAAAGTTTTAGTATTATGTGTACTTTATATAAAACGGTGCAATGATACTGGTTTATTTTTGAGGGGTATAGTAGTAGTAGCTCTATCATTAAGGTTCTAAGTCCATCAGAAATCCTCACATTTTAATTTAAAAAAAATATATATGAGAAAAGACAATGCAAATAGGAAAGTGTATATTTGTGTATAATAAAAAAAAAATTTTTTTTACAGACTATAAATGCTAAGTTCTCAGAGGGTGACAAGAAACAGGAATTGGTGCAGATAATGCAAGAAGTATTACAGGAGATGAAATATGAAATACACAATATGGATTGGAGTGTTGATGGTAGGATTATTTAAATTTAATTCATTCATTATTTCAGAAAAAAGTTGGGTGGGTTTGAAAAATGTGGTTAACTATTAAAATTAAATAATATTCTGACATATTTAGCTAATAAAAAATCGCTTGATTTTTGATTGAAGTTCACTTAAAACATATCTCCATTGTTGACTAATAATACTAAGTCGGTTATTATTCTGCTAAAGTTGTTCTTCTCTCTTGTCATATTCATTTTTTTTTTAGTTCCATATATTTATTATCCTTAAATTCTCATATTTATATTTCAAATTTATTTTTATTCAAACGTATACTTAACATCGACTTCTTTATTACGACACTCGCACGTAACCACAAAAACTTGTCTTGCTTGTTTAACGCGTATGTGTCCGTGCACGCGGGTAATCTTGAAATAGTGCGTGCGCAAGTGCCCTTTGTGCCGATATGCTTGGCATTTTATATACATTTTAGTAATCGTTAAAACATTAAATCAATTAATTAATTTAAAATGGTGTTTATTTCATCTACCCCAAATACTTATAAACAGGTTAGTTACTAATCTAATAAATTACTTTAACAGACAGTTCTTCATTTACTTTGCATCTCTTTCATACATACTATGAAATGTCCGAATGTCTAACAAGCGACTGCCAACTGACTTTCAACCAAACCCTAAGTATTTCAATCTTAATATTTTAGATCTCCCGTGCCATCAAGACAGGCAATTTATGATCTCGAATTCATGTTTCTACACACCCAGAAAAACTCCGAATAAAGCAATACGACTGAACCAAATCAATCGGCCACAAAGTAGTACTCGAAATGGAAACGATTTCGATGAAGCAGATTCGTGCCATTTGGTGGACGAAGACAATGTGAGTTTGTCGGATGGTGAAGAAGCGCTGTCGTACGATAGTTTTAACATCGATGATTACGATATTGTGATGTCTAATGAGGAAAGCTTTGGAGCTAGTCAGAGTTATATAGATTATTTTAAGGTAAATAAAAGTTGCAATATTTGGTCCTTCGAGTCGGATAATGGAATAATTTTTTTTCATGTAAAAAATTCATTCCCTTCTGCATTTTTGTTATGCCGTGATGGCTATATTACAATTTCGGAATATATTATTTTATATGTCACAAGTTGTTTTTGCGTCATACAAATATATGCTTATTTTTTCTACATACAACAAATAAAAACGTATAAGAATATTGAACTTTTAGAGTACAAGAGAGGCTCTCAGCGGTACAATCCCGATAGCGAACGAAAGTGAATCCCTCCCGCTTTCTCCAAGTTTTAGTGGACGAAGCACGGTATCTACTTGCTCTAACACCACCTTATCCACCAAGCAGGCTTCGCTTGACGTGCAAAGGACAGGTATGTTCAATTTCCCTAACCCTAGGTGGATCAGCACGGCTGTGCACTAACTCTGTTTGTAAAATAGTTTTTGGGTAAATAACACTAATTGTGTAAAACTTACGAAGCCTTAACGTTTTGAGTTTTTGAGAGTTGCAAATTTCTGTATGAGTAAGTGATTCCTTAACATATCTAGCAATTGGCGATCAGCCATCGCTTTGTAGTCAACGAGGTAGAAACCCAGAACGCTAAATGTATTAAATTAATGTTTATCAATTTATAGATACAACATTCACTTTGAAATTATAAAACAAATTTTGAATAATAAACAAATATTAAAACTATGTGAACGTGAAAGTTAAATTGATATAAAAATTTATTTACTTTCAGTCTTGTCAAAACTAAGTCACAAGATAAGTGTGAAGCTTGTCAAGTTTGTAGATTGCCTCAAAGACACTTACTTCGGAACTTTGCAGAGGTAAGTTAAATTTATACACAGGTATACAGATACTAGAATTTTAAATTATGGTATCCTTTAAGATACCTTCTTTGGAAAATATAAGTAAAAACTTATTGAATACATTTGTCCTAAGCTTACGGGAATATTGCGATATCCATTTTTTTTTATGATTTCCCGTTTAATAAAAATAATATTCATATGGTAAATCTAGTATAGTAAAATTAGCTATAACCATATACTAATAACATAATAACTAAATTCGGCTAAATGCCATCTTTAACTTTAACCAAAATACTCTTTCGTTGCTTTCTGTCAAATTGTGTTTAAGGTGTCATAAAATATACTTTACTCATATAACTATAAGCTGGTTGAATTTTTTTTTAAATATTGCTTTTAGAGTTTACGACTTTTTATAACAATTATGTATATTATTTTTTTATCGTGCATTTTCAGATGCCTAGAATCGTTGGAGTCGTGTTGTCGTGAAGAGCTAGGCGGTCGTCCGGCGAGTGAAGCGATGCGGCAAGTGGTGTCTGCGGCGGATCGGATCGACTTGCAGCCTTGCGCATCCTTCTCCCTACTGAGAAGCTTATTGGACTCTATTAGAAGACTGTTCTATAGGTCAGTAGGCTTAGAAGCAGTTAATATATTAATCTTTTTTAAAGTATATTACAATAAATTAGTTAAATATCACTTGCCACGAAGAACAAACTCGTAAAAGCAATATTTTTTTTAGGAAAAATAAATGAAGCTTATTTTTCCTATTATTCCTAGGATACTAAGGAAAACAACAGATATATATTTGACGATTTAAACATTGTTGTTATGTATTTAGTATCATAATATAATAATTTATCTAATTAGAATGAAGAGCAAGAGCGTTTTACGATTGTTTCACAGTTTAAACATAATTATGGACAATACAATAACCGCACCTTACGACGGCACATTTTGACGAATGTCTAGAACGTAATAATGTAATACCACGCTTTTCGCGAAAATATTATGACGTTGTTGTAACAGAGATATATTATTACCACTTCTTATTTATTTTTAAACTGTCGCATTACCTATTATGATTATTTGGTAGAATTACAATCTAATCTAAAACTATCGTTATGTTTGTTGCTATGCTTCGGGAAAATAAAATTAGGTAAACGAGTATCACTAACATTGTACACAAAATAATTCCCGTAGAATAAAGAAATCCTCGTGGTTTTTTTTAAATAAAGTATTTTGCCAAAATTCTGAAAATAATTACATTTATAGTATATCACCCAAGGAAGTCAAAATTGGCAAAACATTACAACAGTCGTAATAGTGCTTTACGAGTTTGATATTCTCTTGTTTTAAGTCAAAAAATGCCAATTCCAGAATAAAATTAAGTGTTTAGAGCGTTATTTATTTGTAAAAGCTCATTTTGTTTGCGTAATATTCACATAAACAATAGAAATTATTAAATTCATATTTTGAAAAAGAGTGAAATATAACTAATATGATCTATGAATAGTATTAATGTTAAGTAATGTTTTTAATTAATTTATCAGATTGCGAGTAGTGACTGGCGAAGCCGAATCGGCGTGTTGTGCGCTAAGTCCAATTTGGCGACGGCAGGTGGCGCTTTACACACTCGCGTCCCTCTCCACGCATAAGCTCGCTCGTCTCATCTCCGAACAGGTAATACGTGTCTTAACCTCAGTGCCGGTTTTAGCACTACCAGCGCCATGGGCGAGATTTATACGGCGCCCCCTAACTGCAATTCAAACCCATATGAAAAAAGGAACAAGATATAATGAAATTACCATTTATAAAAAAAAAATATAAAATTTGAATGAGAATGAGCTGAGTGTGTTCCGCTTCGTCAAAAATAACATCAACTCTCTCTAATTTAAACGTACAAAAGAGAAAGATAATGTTTTTCTCGATGGTCGGGGATTCCCGGTTAAATTAAATGCATGCAGTGCAGTGATCCGATTTGAAGACTGCGTTCCATTCTAGTGTTGCCTGCGGTTCCCCTTTATATCCGGCGCCCTGGGCGGTTTCCCAACCGCGTCCCACCCGAACGCCGCTACTGCTTAACCTGTATATTGTGTAACAAATATGTAGGACTTATTAGGTCCTTTTTTCAGATAGATATTTTAGTAGCCCAAAACTTGAATATTTTAGAAGCCAAAAACTTACTACATAGACTTTGGGTTACCCCGAATGTAACAAAGGTAATAGGGTTGTTCTTTAAATTAACACCTATAGGCATATCATACGGAAAATGTTAAATCTAGCTTAAGTAGTGGTCAAATACATTACGTCATTGATATGCACCGCTTACTGCACGTCTCCATAATACTGAAGACGTCAAACTCAACCCCAAAAAAAAGAAGTTAGTTGTCCTGTATTTATATAAGTTTTCTTTAATAAAAATAAAGGTCATCCGCCCTGTCGCTGGCAAATTTGTAAATACAAAAGACGAAACGATTCGTTTTAAGACATTTTAGTGGTTTTATTCTTGTTTGTTAAAAAATGATCTAAAAATCACCCATAAGCGACATGTGTAGTGGGGACAAAGTTGAAAACTTTTATAAAAAAATCTGAGGTAAAAATATGTCTTAAATCTAGCATTAATTTGGTTCACAGATCGTGGAGCGTCTGAGCGTAGCTCATGGGCGATACCAAGCGGCGCTGACGTCATTGGACACTGCGCTTACTGCACGTCTGCATAATACTGAAGACGTCAAACTCACCATTAGAAAGAAGTTAGTTGTCCTGTATTTATATAAGTTTTCTTTAATCAAAATCTCTTGATAGATGTACCAAGGCGACTATATGGTTCTTTAAAATTTGATTATCGTTCAAACTTTAAGTGTCAATATAATATGCTAGAAAGGACTTGATACCTAAAAACTTAACTTTTTAATTGATGAAGTTAAAAATAATTTTAATCAAATTGTTTTTCACTGCTTGCTCAAGATCATTTTACATTTTATCGAGTATATTCCTGCCTCAAAGGCCGGCAATGCACCCACTAAAAATGGGTGTCTATGGGCTGCGATGACTGCCCTTTTTCTGCATGTTTTCTGCGTCCCGCAAGCTCGTTTTCCCCATTATATATTTAAAAAAAATTGATGTTATTAAACCCATAACTATTGCTGAAGAACATTTAATGGATGAAGACCTCAAAAAATCGATTACATTGAAATAGACAAAAACATAAAACTTTGTTTTATTAAAGAGCGTTTTAAATATTTGGAATACGTGTCAAATGTGACACAGCGGTTACGACTTGCACTATACATTTTTCAAGAGCCACATACGAAACTAAGAATGAAATTATTTCCGAGTATTTTACATTGTCAAAACCTAGTCGACTGTATAAAAGCAGAAGTCGCAACTATCTAATAACTTTTGTCTTGCATTCAATTTTTTTAATAAATTTATGATAATATGTTAAATATTGGAAATTATTATCATAAAATCTTCTTTCAGGTACGCTCCGCTCTTCGCCCGGTTGTGTCTAGAGAGTACATCAATGTGTGATCTACTGATGTACGGTGTACCGGACCTTGGCCGAGAAATCGGTACGAATTTAAGTGTAATTTTATGATCACAATTACTTTTGTTAACTAGGTGAGATGATGTAGTAGTCTAGTTTTTCCAACTGGGGCAAAGAATACATATATTATGGTAGGTTGTATATGTTATTATTCTTATATATTATTGCAGGCAAGTTGTTGTCCTTCTAAGCAGTAACAAACGTATAACTTTTTTACCCAGATACCCAGATATTTATTTGAACCGACTAAATTAGACATAGTATTGTCTTTGATTAACATAACTTTTATTCATTTAATATAACACTATTTTGACCGGATTGAAGTTATGTATTATTATAAATTTACAACTATTTAACATAATTTTAAATTTATCCGACGTTTCGCGTGCTTTACAGTCACCGTGACCACGCACGCAAATAGTGTTTTATTAAATAAATTAGACATATTAATTTTCATAGATAAATAATATTATTATATATTTATTAGTAACATTACTTATCAAATTTATATACATGCTATATTTAAGCATTTTAACCAGTCAAATATAAACTCGCTAGTCACATAGAAATTACACTAGCCAAATTGAATTTCGAATCTACAGAGCCATTACTACATATCTTGGTATGACTTTGAGGTTTCAAAAACTAACACAGACACAGTGCACGATCATAACAACTTTCAGCTACACTCTCAAATACATGCGCATACACACCCATTCTCACACTCACTCATTCACTTAATTTGTAACACTAAATTTATTATTATTATTTTTTTAAACATGTACCACGTAATAATTATTTTCATTGGGTAACTACCCACAACACAGGACCTCCGTAGTGTGGGGACTAGCGATATATGAATTCTGTCACAACCCTTTTGTCATAAATAAAGTTTTTATTATTTATTATATTAATAGTTATAATATGAACGTGCTATACGTTAGGTCGAGGTCAGTACGGTGTGGTATACGCAGTGCGTGGTTCATGGGCGGGAGCGACGCCTGTGGCCGCTAAGTCTGTATTGCCTGCAGACGATAGGCACTACTACGAGCTAGCTATGGAGTTTTTCTATACCAGGTGATCTTCTTGTATACATTTAATTTTATGAAACATAACTATACAAAATTGCATAAATTTAATAATATATGTTTTGTTTTATGTTTTTTTGTTTATTCATTTTTATTACGCACTCTTCAGCTAGAAAATTTATGTTTAGATGATAACATTTCCATCATGGTTTAGTGTTTGTTTATAATTAGTAAAAAAATTGGCAACGCTCGGTTCGGGTAAATTCAACCAAATTTCAAACTAAAAAACGCCACCATACATGACGTTCGCCCTGCAATTGTAAATTAAATGGATGATTTACGCTGTGCTAGTAGTGTCAACAACTATATTGATTAATATATTCATTATTATTAACGTCCTTAAAGTTTCGAAACTGTTCGATATAATGTATCGCAAATAAAAAGTCTTGATAATGAAAGCAAATAAATCAAAATCAAAATACGTTTATTCAGTTTAGATGCGTTTTAGGGCATGCTTATGAATGTCAAAAACGCTTACAAAATTCGCGAAAGAGCAAGACTACGCCATCCGTTCGCAAAACTACCAGGAGGCCTTGTTTTGAGAAGAACGGGCAAGAAACTCAGCAAATTTTACCCTCCCTCTACATTACAAATGTTCTAAAAGCCGTTAATCTTAAACACGTATACTTAAAACTATACCAGTCCCTAAAGCACGTAAAAAGTATAATAATAGGCAAAGAAACAACGTATTATTTTCAAATTTAAATTGTACATGAATGTTATTAAAACACCTTGAAATATGTTGTGCAACTCAGGAGCATCCCGTCCCACCCGCGTATAGTCCGCCTACTCGGGTCCTTGGTACAGCGTGGCGGTGGCGGATGTGTTAGCGTCACATTGGTCTCAGAGAGATGGGCTCGCGACCTTCACACTGCTGTAAGAGCTGGACTCAGTTTCGCCCAAAGGATGAAAGTCAGCTGTGATATTGTTGAAGGTAAGTTGGCAGGGCAGAATCATATAGTGTATATTAAATATAGTTGTTTCTAAAGGATTAGTAGAAGAAGGGGAAAGGAATAAGAAAAAAAATTTAGTTATTAACAAAGTAATGTTTGAATGTATACGGAATGAAAAACTCATGTTTGTCTAAGCATTGTAACGTTCATTTATGTGTGCCATACAATTCTAAATAAAACCTTAATGTCGTAAAATGTAATTGTTATCAGAATCTTATAATATTGTCTTTTATTAACATAACTTTTACACATTTAAATAAAAAACTTTTTTAACAGATTGAAGCTAATTTAAAATTATGTAAAATAATTATAAGTTTATAATAATACATAGCTTCATTCCGTTAAAGAAGTGTTTTCTTTAAAGAATCTTATAAATTTCTTAATATAAGTTTTTTCTTATTGGCTGGTTTGAGAGATTAGCCGTTTGAGCGTGCGTAATTTTTAATCCGTGGGTCGCGTGCTCGAACACAACACTAATAGATTTTCCTTTCTATAACGTATATTTTTTTATTTTTCCAACTTTATTCATATATACAAGTACACTTATGAACGTCAGAATAGAAGTTAAATTAATTCTAAATTTACATTTACTACCAGTTTGCAAGTCAAGGGCGTAGCGGGCAAGAAGAACTGGCAAGAAACTCTCCGCCACTCTTTTTAATCGCCCAGTTTTGAGTCATACAAATTGTTTGAACTGATAATATACGATGAAGAATAACTTTGAGAAATTGAAAATGTGTATGTAATGATTTCAGGCATCCGATATCTTCATTCCCTAGGCCTAGTCCATCGAGATATTAAACTCAAGAATGTCCTCTTGAACAATGAGAATAGAGCTGCATTATCTGATCTGGGCTTCTGTGCGGCTGGAGCGCTGGTATCGGGGTCTTTGGTGGGCACACCTGTACATATGGCACCCGAACTGCTGGCCGGAAGATATCAGAGTGCGGTTGATGTGTATGCCTTTGGAATACTCTTCTGGTAAGGAAACGTATATATTTTGAGTTAACGAACTTATTTAAAATTTATGTAGATTCGACGATATCTTTTTGTCATGTATTTTGATTTCTAGCTTTACAATTTCTATAAAGCTTTTCTTTGATGATTTTTAATATAAAAAGGTTTATATGATCGTCAAGGGTATACTGCAGCTATCCTTCCATATGTTTTAATTGGGTTTTTGAAAAAAAAAAATTAATTTTTTTATGTATTTTAAAACATATTGTTAATAATATGATGTTTAATGAATAAAAATTTTCAATTAATTATAAACAATTAAAAGTTGATGAAATTTAAATAAAAATCACGTGACTATAAACGCGCCAGGAATGATCGATCACCATGTTGTGACGTCATAATGTTAAAGCACTGTTAAATTGCTACAGCGTTTACGGCTATTAATATATATATAGTATTTAAATATAAATATTAATATTAATTAACAAAATTAAATAGTTCAAAACACTGTATTTATTATTTTTCTATCAACTGCAATGAGTGAAAACTAACATTATGACGTCACACGCGCTCGGGTTTGTTCGGCGTGTTTTCGGTACTGGATTCAAAAAATAGTTTTGTTATAAAACTTATATATGATCTTTCCCTTTATCACAAAATTTTTTTTTCAAAAACCCAATTATAAAAAGATGATTTTAATTTTATTGAAGTGAAATTTCTTTAGGCGCATGAGGGTAAAATTTTTACGGAACTTCGTTTTTGTCGGATTTTTTTCTTTAATAAATATGTGCTAGTATAATAATGTGGTGCAATTATTCATACTTGAACACCGATGGTGTTTTTAATACATATCAGTATCATTTTTATTTTATTAAGTAACAACATACCATTATTTTTTTGGTTTTGTATTTTTATAAGGGCACAGAACCAAAACCTTTTTTTGCGGGTTTCTTTAAGAAATTATAGAGTGAAATTGACCCAGAATTGGCCATTTTAAAAATGAAACTCGGAAATAAGGTTGAGCAATTATGATAATAATAAATTTGTTATAAATTGAATTTGGTAATTGATTACCATATTTAAAAATGGTTGTATTTCTTTTAAAATTAATAACTATATACCTAGTTATTTTCATTATACAAAATATTTGTAAATAAATAAAATATTTGTGAAAAATGTGTAGCCTTCTAGTGCTTAGTATCATTCATTAATTCATTAGAAAGATTGACAAATTAAATTATGGCATTTGGGCAGCTTGATTACTCAAATAATTAATTTACAAAGAAGTTTCACTTCTGAAATGTGTACTTTGTACGCACGCACTTTTTTGTATTATTTTAAGTTCCGTGTGTGCTTATTAACTAAAAGTTTTATGGCAGGTATCTCTGTGCTGGTAGTATCCGCTTGCCGGCTGCTTTTGAGAGCTTCCAGAACAAGGAACAGCTATGGAGTAAGGTAAAACGAGGTGAGATTTGAGACATATATATATTTATCTTACAATATAATGCATACAAATATTACTTTAACTTATATGGTCCCTATGCCATTAAAAATGATTTAATATTATATAGTTATAGAAACTAAGTCAGTCTAATTGCACTGTTTTAACTAAAGTACTCATTTGTCTCTTTCTGTCAAATTGCGTTTACGCTATGATGAAAAGAGGTAAATGAGTACTTTGAAATTTTTGTTCTTTTTAAGAGTAAACGAAAGTTAATTGAAAATTCTAATATGCTAAAAAAGTGCCGATGATAGGTCCGTCTCATTTCGAATAACTTGTATAAAATAAAGTCAATGTAAATAGAAAATGCGTATCTTGGTAAAGAGCCAAAGTATAATAATAGAGTTAAATCCACATTATTCGTGATATAACTAATGCTTTGTTTTCTTAAAAATGAAATGGAAAATGGTGTAATAGTTGCAGCTCCTTACATTCTGTAAAACAAAAAACTTGGCGATAAAAAAGAGTGGCGGAGAGTTTGTCAGTTCTTCTCTTCCGTTCTACGCCCTGAATTTGAGAACTGGCAGTAAATGTATAGCTAGAAGCATTTAATATGTATTTCTTTTTTGACCTTATAAGTGTATATTGTGTTACCTATATGAATAATTGATTTGATTTAATAATTTTATTTGCTCATAAGACGGCAGCACTGATGGAAATTCCTTAGTTTATCTGTATCTCTAAACAATAGTTATAAACCAGCACAACTTGCTTTCAAAAAAATCTCGTTTTCTCTTATTTATAAATCTAATTAAAAATAAATTATATAAATCTATTATAGCAGTGTTGGCCTAGTGGCTTCAGCGTGCGACTCTCATACCTGAGGTCGTAGATTCAATCCCCGGCTGTGCACCATTGGACTTTCTTTCTATCTGCGCATTTAACATTTGCTCGGACGGCGAAGGAAGTCAACGTCGTGAGGAAACCGACATGTCTTAGACCCAAAAAAATAAAGTAAGACTGAGGCTGATCACCTACGATTAGATTGAAAATGGATATAAGAAAACAGGCCAAGATCTAAAGGTTGTAGCGCTAGGCTGATCACTTTATAAATCTAATTGACAATATTTTCAGGTCTTCGACCGGAACGCTTACCCCAGTTTTCAGACGAGTGTTGGGACATAATGCAGTCCTGTTGGGCCACAGAGCCTTGCCAAAGAGCCTTATTAGGTGATATTCAACCGCGTCTAGAGGCAGTATTACGCACTGCTCTTATCGAAGATCAACCCGGACCAATATTCACACAACGGACCAGTCTTTCGGAAGACGACAGTCTTAATATGACAGGGCTGGATGATTGACGGCCTTTGTTTACAACTTTTTTGAACTGTTGGTTAAATCTAAAAAAAAAACATTCCAACTGTAAGCTTTTGGCAAATGATTTTGGCCTTAAATGTGGATTATAGCTAGCGTTACCATGGTTACAATATTTAAATAAATATAGTACCCACGGAAACAAACATTTAAACCACGTTTTATAAGAAAGTTTGTATCGATTTTTATCGAAATTGCGTGATTTTATAAGCTCTAAATCTATTATTGTTTGAAACTTTTTTAAAAAGACATTAAGGCGCTTATAATATTACGGTGGATTTGGGGTTCGACTAGGGTTGATTTTGATTACAATCAAGCGAAACGCGACACGATTGTATTATTTCCTTATATATTAAGTGTTACCATCACCGCCCAACAGTAAACTTAGCAACCCCAATACTCTATAATAAGAGAAAAAATAATCCGACAATTATCTTCAAAAAATTTGTATTGTTATTTTTAGATTAAATTTTTACACAACTTTCGAATGAAATTATTGTTTGCTTAACAAAAGCACTACAATGAGCATCATGTGTGATAGATTTTCTATCGCATGTATCAGTAAAAGGATGTAATATGAATAAAAGCTTATATAAAGGGTGAATCTTAACTGTCAGGGTTCAATCAAAGTTATGAATACTGTATAATCATGTTTGTGATTTGAAACGTTTTATACAGAATTACTTAATATTACCACAAACAATAAACAAAAGTTATTCTATAATCTATTACATGTGATTGGGTAATTATAGGGGGTTAAAGTCTGGATTCACCCTTGTAACCAATGTGGAGTATTTGTTATAAGCACATATTTACACTCCGGTACTCCTTCCGCTGCCAGAAAAATTGCCTTAAATCTCTTTAAATACTCTCCGACATGAGTGGAAGTAATAGGAATGTCAAGTTTTGTAGTAACTTGTCATAAAACAAAGGAAACAGTATATCGTTAAATTAAAATGTTTCAGTGGTGCTAAATTAAAAATGATAATGAAATTATTGTTGAATGAATACTAAATAATAGTCTTAAGTGCTTATTCTGAGGTCTCAGGAAAGATCTGAATGTATGTATGTATATATTGTGAGATATGAAATGTTTTTAATATACGCTTCTTGCTTATATTTATTAGTATGGAGCAATTTTGAACGGTATTAAAACATGTTTTAATATGTATAGAGGTCACGTATATATTATTACTATATTAAAGATTCCTTTATGTCGCAGCCATCTAGCTTAATTAGCCGTTCAATTAACAACCTAGCCTTGTAACTAAACGGCGCCGTTTAACAAGCGGCCTGAAAGATGTTCAGCCAGTTGATCAAACAGCTAGGCAAATGACTTGGATCGATGACATTTCTTTAGTTGCCTAGCCTGATGACTGTTAATTTAGTTGTCGGCAAACCACAACTTTAATGGTGTTTTCCTTGTTGACAATAATAATGTGAATTCGACTCAAGCAATTTAAGTTTAAAAGAAATATTTTTTATGTCATATGTTTCATCTTTTTTATTTCTGCCAAATAAAAGGCTCTATCGTACGAATAGCCTAAGCATTTGCCAGCTAGTTTATTAAATGTTGTAATAAACGCTACGACTGAATATCTTTCAGGCCGCTAGTCTAACGGCGCCGTTTAGCTAAAAGGCTAGCCTGTTAATTGAACGGCTAATTAAGCTAGTTGGCTGCGACATATATACAGACATTGAGCGTGACACGTGCCGTGTCGCAATCTACCGTGACGGTTATACCCTTTCAGACATTAAGCACAGTCATCGGACTCGGTTTGTCTGTGGTCTCACTGGCCGCTCAGAAATGTTCAATTAACAATACAATCAGATTAGGTACGCACAGACAAATATTGACCAGGTACGGCCTGTGGCTGTTGGTGTCCTTACGATTGTAAACATACGTTTATACACACTAGATGAAAATAATCTTGTCTGCTACCTCATGTCTAGCACGTTCGATGTCTAAACGGAATATTAAACATCTGTATTGTAAAATTCTAATGCCCGCCTTCCACTGCGAGCGGAACGGACCCCTTACGGAACTCCGCTATACTCGTAACGATGATTTTCATACATGTGCTTCCACCAAAGCGGAGACGAGCGAAGCGGAGAGAGCGAGTTGAAAGAGTCACATATGAAGTTAGCGAGTTGACCGAGTTTCCAACGGAAATGAAAATCATCGTTACGAGTATAGCGGAGTCCGTAATGGGTCCGTTCCGCTCGCAGTGGAAGGCGGGCATTAATACTTAACATTCGAGTTAAACTGAGACTGACCTGTTGAGCGTAAAATGAAATGCGTTGAGTTAATGAAATTAAGAAAATGGGCGATTTTCTTTATTTCATGAAACCAAATTGTTAGAATGAACTTTGATCAAGTGATCTCGTAATTGATTTTTATATGCATTTTGTTTTACTTGGCTTTGTGTTATGTAGTGTATAGTTTCGGCGAAAAGATAAGGTTAGAAGGGATTCGAATATTGTACTAGATCAGTGTCGCCATCTCGACATCCACCACTTCACGCTTCAACACATTTGCGATATCTATAAAGAATGATTGTTAATTATCCCAGCACTGCACTCTAGTCTTCCATCCTAATATATTCAGTGGGATTGCATAATAAAGTTTTGTTTCCGCCATATTGATATAAAATATTATTAAAAAGTATTTTCAAAGGAGGAACTATTCATAAGATTATTTTATCAGGTTTTATCGCTACTTATGTTATCTATTTTGAAATATTATTAAAATGTTTGAACAAATTTAAGTTCAAATGTTGTTTTATTTTTGTTATGTAAGCAATAAAACCTATTTATCATAATAAAATATTTTTCAGATTCTTCTTTTCATTATAATTTCCTACTAATGGTTTATAATGACCTAGTAACAGTTAAAATAAAGATACAATTACCGTTTCTGTGCGATGTGACGCTATTCTTAATACATAGCGTATTTCATTTTAAATTAAATAACTAACATATAATCCTGTAAGGGCATTCCTTGCGTCTATTACTCCTGTATTTTAAAATTTATTGGAGTCAACTTACCCCGTAAATTGCCCAAGGAAGAAAAAAGTCTCAATCAAAAGGTGCTTTCATAAATCAGTCCTCCACCATTAGAGAACATGTCCTATCTTAAACGTTGGCGCTGTGTGTCTCAATTAGTTTGCCGCGTTTATTTATTTACAAAGTGATATCAGACAAACTATTATGTAACTAGTTTATAAGTTAACGTACCTGTATGAAAAGAAAAAAAAAACTATACATGTTTGTATGTATAATACTTGGTAACGTTTTCTACACAGATTTAGTGATCAGCCCTGAACCTGATGATTGCGTCTTAGGGAGCGTTCAAGTAGAGCGGCCCTTTTGTACAACGTTACGATGCGGGGCGGGGATTGAATTAAGCCGTTATTGTTTTTACACTACGTACCTAATGGTAACTTTTAGGTATAAAGAGTCACTGGGTCACGAAACGTTTTACTATACTTGGGTACAGAAAAACGTTACGGCGCGGGGGGGGGGGTCGACTAGAGGGAGGGGCGGGGGGGGGGATGGAGGTATTTTCATGTTCACATGGGTAGGTCAAAAAATAATCTCCAAAATTCCGTTTGCTGTTCAGTGAGCGCCTCTCCGATCCATGTAATTTTATTAATTTTCAATTATATTTTGTTTTAAAATATGAAAAAATATAATATAAATATGAAAAAAAATAAAGAAAAAAAAAAAAAAAATAAAAAAAGAAAACAAGAGTAATAAAAAAAAAAAAAAAAAAGAAAGACGATACTCTCGCACGCCGAGTTCTGAACGCTCTTCAAATTTGATACGTTAATGCGACTCCCTGAGACATGCTGTTACCTCCAGGTGTTTTCTTTGACATACCGTGCTAGTGTTAAGTGCGCTTATAAAAATTCTTTATTACTTAGCCGTGATTCAAACACACGATATCAGGGTTGAGAGAGTTTCATACATTAAATAATCGTAAATATTGACGTTACACACACAAGCCTAAAATAATGTATAACGGCAATACAACTGTAAAAACACTTAATTATTACCTGCAAGTAAGCAGAAAATAAATTCCATTCGAGTTTCGAGGCCAGAAAACAATTGTCTGGCTTTTTATAAACCAGAATAAGAGCTAGGTTTTCATTAAATCTCCCACGAATTTGCATGCATTATTTAGTCTGGCCGGGCGGCGCGGGTGAATCTAAATACGAGTATTATGTAAATGTACGCCCTTTCACTGATGTGTGGCTGAACAGAGTTCAGTGAGGAAGCATCCGTCATCAAGTAGGGCCACTTGAAATGAAATTTAAAACTGTTTTTCTGCTATAGAAATTCCGTAAATGTAAGTCGAAAAATTAACACTGCTTAATAGAAAAAGTTGTAACTTGGTTTGTAACCTGTGTTACAGATTTAGTCCAGTCTAGCAAGTACGGTTATCTTAATATTTAATTTATCGGGTTTTCATATATTTATATTGCACAACTAGAAGATTTTGTGTGTAATAAAAAAAAGTCAAAGATTACATAAAATGTAAAAGATTACATAAAATGCTAGAACAAACTATTTCAAAAAATATTATTTTGCCATCCTCTCTTTGCCTCTATGGTTCTATGGTTTTGTTCGGCATTCGACATTTGGCGGGAACGGGTAGACGAATAGATATAAGTACATTATGTGTTTTGATAATAAACGAGATTTGCGAGGCTACAATTCAGAATTGAACTGCACGCAAAACATAATTTCGACCAACGCCTATTGAGTAGTAATTAGCACTAACAGCCTGGCCACGGGACATTCGCCGACGCGAATATTCGCGCGGTGCGAACCGCGATGCGTCTAGCGACTGAAATAAACTCATAGCAATGTACTAATCAAGCCACGCGCAACGGCGACCAGCGATGCGACCGGCGAAATGTACCGAGCGAATCGCGCGGGCGACTGACGTCGCGACGGGCGAGCGAAACAAATGCATGAATCA